ATCTGGTGAGATCGACCAACGAATCTCTTCTTCATGCACTTTTATACGAAATAAAGTTCCCCCTAAAAATTTTATCTCATGAGATTCATCGAAACCAAGTTTCTCTTCGTATCTATATGACTTTTTTATAATCTAAACCTTTTCTAAGTTATTTTAGCTCACCGAGATTGTTCTACTTAGAATAATATACGAGTAGTATATTTTATTACACAATATTTCCATCTTCGTAATTTATTTTCTCCGATAGCTGACTCAATTCTGGTTTTGCTCCCTGTTACTCCTTTCACTAATTCTTTTTAACATATCTTTGGGTTTATCCACAAAGAATTTTGCTCAATCGTCTGTGCTTAATTTCGTAAACGCCCTTTCTCTTCCTTTGTTGATTGTTGGTTTAGTGGCTTGCGTGCAAAAACATGCTTCAATTTTGAACAGATTTATTTTGTCTACGTCACGGGAAATAAATTTATATGAATTCTATCTGATGTATTTTTAGATTCTAGGCGATTGACTTTGGGCATTCACTTCTGTTTAATTTCTGCTTAATCACTTATCGGGACGCTGTATTTGTGTATGATGCTCTTATGTTATCCTTCTTCATTTAATCTTCGGTGACGAGGCAGTAGCTTACAAATAGGGGTACACCCTTTTGCATACCTTTGCTTATGTATTTTCCAAGTGTAGCTTATAGGGTTGTTAGTTTTTAAATTATATACTGTCAATAGATGCAGGAATGCAAGAGGGAAACATGTTACCTCGTTTTTTAATATAATCTTATTCTAAACGAGTCCAAAAGAGATTCCATATGACAACTACTATTGGGCCATATATTTTTAATTAAATTTTTTTATCCTAAACCCATCCTTTCATATTTCTATAACATAATCACCTACGTCTTTACTTATTATCTTAAGTACTGTTGAAATCGAGTTAATTTTTCTAGATTTCTCTCGTCTAGAATGCGCCATCCTCCCACTCATTCATTGAATTATCCGGACTGTGAATCATCCAACCTCTTTCTGTTCACATGCAAAATGGACATTAAAATGTCAAAAAAAAGATTCTTAAATGCATGGAGATCTGCTTGAGCCAGGAGTTGATTGTATCTGTTTCACAAATGTCGCGTTATTTACCAAATAAGATAATGTTTGTAACCAGCCGAATAGAAAATATTCTTAACTGATTGCTATGCAGAAAGAAAAGATTGAGGAAACGACTGCTAAGTTTTTACAAATAACAAAGTGCTTAAAGTCATCTAAAAACCTAGAAACTTTTCTTTACTTTTATTTTCGGCCCATTGCTCATTAAACCTTCATGTTCAATTTGTATTTTCTTTTTAAATTAGATTGTCTGACGGCCACATTCATTTCCCCTTTTTCTTTTACGGGATTTAATTCACATTTTTGCATAGCTTAATAATTGTATACTTTATGAATAAGTTATTCTTTATATAAACTCTAAAGGATAGTCTCGTTATTCCTCAATACGCTTTATCGCTTTGTTCTACTAAAGATACAGAGCTATTATTTACTTAGTATGTCTGAGCTTCTCTTCTATTTAATGCATTCTTAACACTTCTCATCTATAAAGTATGTTATGTAGCTCAAATATGTTCACATTAATCTTTTATACATCGTGTTTTTTGAACACTTGTAAGCCATTTGTTATTTGATTTCACTTTAGTATACGTAAAAGACAAAATGTCCTCACCGCCCGCACCATCTACTTCCTCCTGTCGCCAAGAAATCACAAATGCTACACAGCTCTCAGATAAGTCTGAAAAGCCAGGAGGCCCGGTCGAAACGTTATCTGTTGCGAAGACCTCAGAAGAAGATTCGGAGGGAAATAATATCAATGGAAAGAAAAATGATGGTAGCGATGAGATGGAGAAGAGCAGAGGGCTGAGCAGAAAGCGTTCCTTGGAGGATGATGCTGAGCCGTGTTCTGACGACGAATGTATAGGACCCATACCTAGCGAACAGACAGAATTTACTGAAGCCGAACAGAAGAACAAGAAGAAAAAATGTATCCTCGTATTATCGTGTCAATTTAACATTATTTCACTTTTGTTTCATTAATATCTCGTATGCCTGTCTATTTTAATGACGTATTAATATCTTTACCTTATTGTATTTAATGTATCTACGTCATCCTTTTAAGCATACATAGATACACAAGATTGTCTACTTGTTTTATAGTGATATACGAGGCATAAAAGGATAATTTATGTGCAGGAAAACTACGAAATATTTAAACACTTCCTTGAGTATTGATAAAATAAACTAATATCTTTAAAGAGTGTAACATATCTAAAGTTGTCTTGACCTCGTTTTTGCGATTTAGTTTTAGTTTCATAGACTTTCAAAGAAGTTCTCCATACTGCGATCTCTGACAGTGTATTCATGTGTTCTTTCAGTATTGGATCATTATTATGAGTCATTTTCAGACGTCTGGCTGGTTTCGTAAGTGGCAGTGCTATTCTTCTCACCGGGCGACATTCTCAGTGGAACGTTTTGGGGCTTACTTAGAACAAATGAAAACATTGGAAAGGGACGAAGTGCAGGGCACGTCCTCCAAAGTCTTCTTACAATTTAGTTGAATACCCTATAGACTTGCTTCAAAGAAAGTAGTCTCTAAAACCTATTTTAAAACAAAAATTTCTTGTATTTTGCCATTGCAAACAGTATGTTACTTATATCCATAGAGAGTAGGTTTCGTGACTATCGTTAAATATTGAATAAGTCTTAGTCCCCTTAGATCAATTAAGCCAATGAAAGATTGATAGTTGAATTTGGCCAGACTAAGTAGACCTCACGTTTCCTTTGCATTTTACTTAGCCTTGCTTCCCAAAAGGTATTTCTATCCAGAGCTAACTGCAGTTTCGACCTCGCTATGGTCATATCAGCGTAGTGGTAAAGTGTCGAAATATTTGTTGCACTACTCGAGTCATATTCTATCTCGGGTTGCTGATTTGACCCAAGCTAGGTCTAAATTGCAATTTGCCCTCGATCAGAATACATTTTAAGAAGAAAGGCAAAGCAAAATTCATTGGAAACGCTGGTGAGCAACTCCAGTTATCAGTCGATCTTCTTTTGCGATCTAGAGGGACTAGAACTCTAATTCAACAACTCCTGATAATCTTGAAGCCTACTTTTTTTGAATATAAATTCATGCTATTTATGATGATGAGGTTCCTTTCGAAGGCAAGTGCAATAAAGGCGATTAAAATTAGGTGATGCAGAGAAATTCATTTTTAGTACTGTACAAATTAGCATAAAAAGTATGCAAACATGTATGTGGACTATATAGATATTGTATTCAGAAATCCTTTACTCTCAAAAATAGCATTATGATCCACTTTTTCTGATTGGGAGCTTGTAAATTTCTTTTTGGGATCGTTTCAATTAATTTGTGTCGGCCAAACCTGCTCTTCAATCCCAACACACGTCTTAGAGCACCAGATACCCAGAAAAATTTGCCTTATAATCATTGGAGGTTGCATACCAGCTGTTTAAAATAGAAAGCATAGCCCTCTGCTAAAATGAAACTTCTTGATATTGCGAATAAGGATTCTAATTTTCCCTTTCTGCGAAGCAACAAAAACTGACAAACAAGAACACGAAACTACTCTACCTAGCTTTATATTCTCCTTCGAATTTGGCTGCTGGATACCCTCATGGAAAAATGCTGGTTTATACAAATAAAAGTTGGTTTTCGAGAAATCTCTGTTCATAATTGTTAAACTTACTTTCATTTCAAGTGGAAGTGCTTGATGCAGAGATTCGAATGTCGATTCCTCTAGAAAATGACGGCAAATTCCTCTTAGCCAGCTGTCGATTAGCCTTAATTAAGCATTTTTATTGAGGCTATTGTTCGTTCCATTACAGGCATCATCAGAGCAGTATATCATCCTTACTAACTATTCAAGTTAACGAGTCAAGAAAACTCAATGGCTTATACCTAAATTCTGTAGGTGTATATTTTGTATCTATGCTTTTATATGAAATTCAGTTAGCTAAGGCTATATATGAATCCCTAGGCATATGGTATTTCTGTTTGTGTTTACGTCCCTTTATCTGCTCGTATATGTACGAAACCACCAGCGATAGCTCAAAGTAATTAGAAC